TGGAGACCAGATGAGGATCTCCACTCGAAGATCGGTTCACCAGGGTAGCCTAGGACAGGATAAGGAATGTAGGAGTTTCTCAGACCTGAAGTTAGCCTCAGGGTAACTGGTTAACAATTAGTCATCCACAGCAGAAAGGTGATTATAAGAAGGAAAGAAATGGTGGCCAAAGAAAACTCAGGAAGAGAGTTGCAGAAAAAGCATTCAAGCCGTCATTAAAACATTGTTTTATTTTCTTCAAAAAAAATTTTGCCGCCTGGGATCAACCCCCACACTACTCCTGCCCCTACTGCTGCAGAGGCTGGGGAATGAGACTTCCAGTAATTGTGTCTCCTAGCAACATGGAAGCAGAGCCATTGCGCAATTACTATGCATTAAACACCTGCTTGGTGCTTTGCCTTTGTCACACAAGCTACACGACTTTGTCAGATAGAGAATAATATTCCCATTTTGTAGCTGAAGAGATGAAGGTTCCAAGAACATAAGCTAGAAGTAAAGTAGCTGAGATACATCTTCAAAGGGGAACATGTAGCATTGGCACCTAGGTCCTGGGGTTCGCAGGGAGAGTGAGGGCTATGTCTCCTGTGCCAAATGGTAGGGTACTACATGCCTGTAGGCTTTTATGAAAGTCTTTGGAAAGGTGGTGATGGTGGTGGGTGTGCTGATGAGGCAGAGAACTTACTTCAATCTGTGGATTTCCTTATTTGTTGCTATAGTACCTAGCTGGTAGGGTTCTTCTACAAGAACAGAGATGGTGTGTATGATGTGTTTAGCAGAATGCAAAATAAGGCCAAGGCAATAGCATGCATTCTCTTCTATCTAAAAAGTGCTTGAGTTAAAAGAAGGGAAACGGAAGCTTTTAGATTTAGAAACAGTCTCCTCTGGGTCAAAGGTCAAATATTAGAGTCTTAGTGAAGGTATTAAAAGTAGGTAGGCTCTGTGAGGGCGGAGGTTTTGCCAGTATTACTCATCACGTGTCTCTGAACTGTGTACCACACCTGGCCCATAGTAAGGTACAATCAATGTGGGATTGGATGGATGAATGGATGGGCCAAAGACGAAAGTGCTACCATTCAGTTACAAAGAGGACAATCCCTGAAGAGCTGTTTGCCTCTCTCAAGAAACCACATCTGCCATCTATCACGCTATCTAAGATAGAACCTTGGGAGTCTCACTCCTGTCAGTCCTACCTCAATTCTAGTCTATGAATACCCTTTCTCACCTTTCTCCCCAGCACTCCTGGCACTACCTTTGTTCAGGCCCTTGCAACTCTCTCCTGGATTCCTACATACCTTCCCTTCCCTTCTACATACCTTCCCTTCCAGTCTACTCTCCCTCCCAGAACAGAATGATCAGAATGATCTGATTTTTTTTTTTTTTTTTGACAGGCAGAGTGGACAGTGAGAGAGAGAGACAGAGAGAAAGGTCTTCCTTTGCTGTTGGTTCACCCTCCAATGGCCGCTGCGGCCGGCACACCATGCTGATCCGATGGCAGGAGCCAGGTGCTTCTCCTGGTCTCCCATGGGGTGCAGGGCCCAAGTACTTGGGCCATCCTCCACTGCACTCCCTGGCCATAGCAGAGAGCTGGCCTGGAAGAGGGGCAACCGGGACAGAATCCGGTGCCCCGACCGGGACTAGAACCCGGTGTGCCGGCGCCACAGGCAGAGAATTAGCCTAGTGAGCCGCGGCGCCGGCCCAGAATGATCTTTAACAAACACAAATCCTATCAAGTCATTGTGGTCACCACCTCCATCCTCAACCCCAATTAAGGATAGTTCATTTTGTCCTATAGATTTTAAGATAAGCCCGAACACCTAAGCATGGCATCCCTAGCCTTCACAATCCTGCCCATGTCTGCCTTGCCAGCCTTACCTGGCCAGTCCCCACCTTGAGTTCTGCATCTGCCCCAGCAGAACTTTACACTCTCTTGTCCCATTGCCTGGTGCTCATCCTCCATCTCCCTTGTCCTTCTGAACTCAACTCTGGCATTGTTCCCCTGGCCCGCTTTCTCTGGTCACCCTTGGCCCCACTAGGAACTGGATGTCCCTCCTGGTACGTAGCCCAGTTGCTTGTGCTTAGCCCATTACACTGGGGTCTGCCTCTATGTCTGTCCTTTCTAGTTGTCTGGCTCATGGAATGCTGTGTTTGCTCTTCCTTTTACCTAACACACTCCCTCTACTCCTTGGCACAATGGTGGTTGGTTGAATTGGTACTTTAACAGTCTCACACCAAACATGTACTTTCTCAGAAAACATCACATCTTTAGCCAACCATGTGCCTAGACAAGATTATTAATCAAGGATTCAAGTACAGTCTATGACTCTGAAAAGATCTATTATATTATATATGTGGGGAACATATTATTTTGGCCAAAAGTCAAGTCACATAATCTAACAAATACTATCACGTATTTTTCTTGCTCAGAAAAATACAGCATCTATAGTAAAACAACCCAATCTGTCATTTTGCCTTATTATGTTATCCAGATATGCCAGTTCAAGACACTGCAATAATAATAGCTAATAAGTGAGTAGCTAACATTCTTGATGAGCCCAGTATGCATCAAACATTAGGTGAATTGATTTGCTATTGTTTCATGTCATCTCCTCACCTGCCTTTTGAAGCAAACCTTTTTGTTATCTCCATTTTACAGATGAAGAAACTGAGGCCTGAGAGTGTTAGGTAACTTGCCAAAGGTTACATAGCCCACAGTAGATAAGGAGTCCATTTGATCCTGCCAGTCATTCTGTGATGCTGACCTCCCCATGACCTCTTAACCTCGATAGATCATCAGAAGAGCCACTTCTGGGCAAAAATAGCAATGGCTTCCGGAAATTTTTATTAAAACTCTAAATCTCCTGGCAATAACTTTCAAAAGTCATGATTCAGACCAGCAGTGGTATTTGAAAATGGAATCACATTGCAAGTCTCCTGGCTAGAGATGCTCTTGCTGCCGGAAAAGAATGTTCAACCTTGGCATTTGTTTTCCGAGTTTTCCCTTCACTTGGTGTTTTGCCATCGCTGACTGTTGGAAGGCACTGGCCCTCATTCCATCCTTTCTAGGGAATCTCCTCCTTCAGGCTTCACTGTCCATTCCCATGGTTTTCACTTCTCTGGGATCTAGAACGATGCTTCTCAAGGTCCTGCCCACTGACTGACTGGACACTCACAAAAATACACATCCCTGGGCCCCCTCCCACAGCTACACACAATCTCCACAGGGCTTGGAGAGCAGCAGTTACTGGCATGCCTCAGGCAATTCGTATGAATAGTAATATTTGAGAACCACAGAGCCTCATGACTCTTCAGTGTGATCCCTGCTGAGTAGTATCTCAGCAGCTTGTTAGAAAACAGAGGACAGCCAACCTTGAACCTCAGGAGCAGAGTCTGCATTTCAAAAAAATCCCAGGTGATTTATCTAGGCACGTTACCGTGCATATTACAGAGAACCAGTTACTGATCTAGCACAGTGTTTCCCAATAGTTCTTTTTCAGCATAACATGCATGGAAAACAAAAGCACTTGTTTGGCATTACTGGGAGTACAGAGGAGAATACTTGCTGTGGCATGGGCACTCAACCTGCTCCATAACCCCACCCGGTCACCCTGGGGGCTTGAGGCGATGGACATCTCAGACATATCTGTGCCGTGGCAGCAGTTAAGCAGCAACTGTTCTACTTAACGTACATCCAGTTCCTCTTTTGTCATGAGGTCTAATTCCCTAGACCTTACTTCCTCCATCGTTTATCATTTATTTTTGTGTATCCTGACAGGAAGGCCACTTCCCAACCAACTGGATCTTAGCAGTCTGCACAGAACATAGGAACATAGTCTTCAAGTTCTAGGTAGACCCTTGGAGAAATGCAGAGAAAAGGGGGTGGTGTCTGTTGTTCTGAAGAACCAACTGCTGCAGCCTAGGGAGAGCGAGGAAGCAATAAGAGCTCCCTTCCTTCTGAAGAGTGCGCCTTTCCCCTTGGTCCACAGGTCCGAGGACAGGGATTAGCAGCATGCGAGGCGGCTTCCTGTCTCCCGAGTGCCAAAAAGAATGTGATTTTGTTAAATCCTTCCTTAGCGAAACCTGTCTGCTTACAGACTGGACAGGTGTCCCTTTTCTTAGCCAGCCCCTGATAATGGGGTGACAGTTGGATGGAAGGAATGGAATACCTTCCGAAGCACTTCCTGGTGTGACCATCTGATCACAGCTACCAAGTGTCAAGGCACACCATCTGACTTTGCAAAGCTCTCGGATGCATGGGAACTCCATTGATTGATTTTGTTTCCTCCTGAGGAAATTTTTAATATTTAAAATGGTGAGCTGTAACTCTGACGTAAATATGACAAAGTCTTCCCCTAAATGAGAAGTTGCCGTGCCTTAGGCAAATACAGCTGGACAAGCGGATGGTTATTGCTACCAAACCACTCACCTTTTTTTTCTCCTTTCAACTTGCCTGCAAATGTGAATCTAATTCTCATCACCCTGCTTCCACCCATCAGAGCATAGGCAAAGCAGAACACATCCTGGGTGGGCTATGGTGGGACTGTTCCTCTCTGCCCTCACACTGCACACCCCTCACAGGTCCACAGGCTCTGTGGTCTTGGCTGCATATGCCAGCTGTACCCAAAGGAAGGCTCTGCCTGAAGTCCTCTGCATTAGCAGACAGGACAGTGACCAGAGCACGCTGTCACCTTTGCCACCTCTGGTTGACTTTTCACAGGACAAGGCAAGCAGACCTTCCTCCCACTCTGATCAGGAAGTTCAGAGGGTGGTCAGCAGTCACCCCAAGTCATCATGATGTCTAAGGAATGAGTGGGTTTTCCTTAAGTTCCCTGCAAGAACAGGTGGTAGAAATGTCCAGTCCTCTATTCAACTGCTTGACAAGTACTGAAAATGTAAGACTAGGGGATGCTGAGGGCTTGGGCCTCCAGTGCACGCACCAGAGCTATTGTACATGACCAAGTCAAGGAGAGGATACTGAGCCGTCTCTTTGCCTCACGGTCCAGGATGAAGAACAAGCTGTGGTACTTTGAGTTCGGCACCTCAGAGACTTTTGCAGCCACCTGCAAGAAACTCCACGACCACATAGAGTTGGAGGTAAGTTTCCAACAGGCGGGGGAAGACTTCTTGAATCTTGGACCTGCTCCTGGACTGTGACACACTCCCTCAGGACATGTCCTCTGGGGTCCTGATGTGGCGATCCACAGTGAGGTCTCTTTGCTGCCCCTCCATCCTGTTCCCAGACACCTCCATGGGCTCATCCAGAGGGCTCCAGTGGCTGGACCTACCTTTCTTGGCCTGCCCTTGGGGCTCCAGAACCCAGAGGCCCAGGGGACCCAGAGCCACAGTCCATTCCAGCCTTCAGCCCTCCTGCCACTGTGGCCCTGCTGCTATTGCCCTTTTTCAGAAAAGTAAAGATTTAGTTGCCACTGACACAGGGAGAGGGAGGCAGTGGGGGCAGAGGCATGGCCCTGGCCTGGTAGAAGTCTGGGAACTGCTAGCCACAGAGCAGCAGGGCTGGGGCCTGGGGGTTGAGGCCAGAGGTGCCTAGAAACCCGCTTTGTTACCACCCCTCACCCCCACCCCTGCGCCAGCTCATCCGCTTTGGTGTGCACAGCCACCTGGAGGAGCTGACTCTAGTACCCAGGGTCTGCTTCCTGGGGATGCAACCTGTGTAGTCACAAAGGTCCCCATGTTCAAATGGGCCCTTGATTTAATGCTCTCTGTCACCATCCCAAATTCTTGGTAGCCTTTTAGCATGTTCACGTTGAGCTGGGCCCCACGGATCACATAGCTTGTGCTTTCCTAACTCAACCCATGTAGCAGCCTGCCTGCGACAGCTTGCCTGGGGCTCCACTTCCTTGGGGATGAGCTGTCCACTCCCTGCCCCTCACCTGGGTGACTATAAGGCCATGTCCTTGGTGCCTGGCCGCCGAAGAGCCCAGACTTTGCTGCAGCCCCTGGCTTCACTCTCCATGGCTTCTCCTACCCAGAATTCCTAGCTCCCAGTCCCACCCTCGTGGGATTCAAGCCTTTCGGCTGATTTTTACTGGGGAAAACAAATGAAAGAGGCAGCTGAATTGTTCGGCCAGGATGGGCTCCTCACGGCCCCTCAGCGTGGTCTCAAAGCCTCCATTAGTGGCCAGCAGGGCGGGCAGCGCTGCGAGCAGAGGGTTTGGCCTGCGGCAGAGGGATAGCCTGGCCACACCCTGCTGCTGCTGCCCCTGCTCTGGCCTAGAGGGAGTTTTCACAAACAAAACACGCAGCCAGAGGTTCTGTGCGGCTGCTGGGTTTGACTCATCTGCCTGCCCGTCTTCTTTGGTTGCTGGGTTACTGACACCAGAGCGGGAGGCACCAATCCCCACTGGCCAGAGGGCAGAGTGGCCCCCGGGGCCAGGGGCCGTGTCCCCAGGGGGTACAGAACTGTGACCACCTACACCTGGGAGAGACCGAGGCACCAGCTCTCCTCTGCTCAGCCTAGACACACTGTGGAGAGGCCTTGGCAGGGCTCTGAGCGTGGCAAGCAGATCTCTGCGTGCATTTCTCCTGTTGGCACGATCGTCTGGTGGGGTCTCTTTAAATATACCACCAGTGAGGGACAGCCCTGGTCTAACCACGGCCAGCTGCAGGCTCACAGCGACTGCTTGTTCTCCCAGCAGCTGGCCTTGAAATGGTGCCCAGAATACAGCCACCCAGTTCCCCTGCCTCTGTGGCCCGCCCTCCGGGCTCCAGGCCCAACCGACTGTGCCCCACCGTCCCCTCCGGGCGCAAGACACAGCAGCTCTTCCTCAGTAGTGGAGGGAGCCATGGCCTCACTGGGGCCTCTGGAGGGGGTGGGGCTGTTCACTCTGGGAGCTTTCAGAAGCACTTCCTGTTTTCCTTATCTTCCCATAATGAGTCTTTTTAGTATTTATTCATGAGGGCAAGCTGGGGGAGTGGGGGAGGGGGTGATGGTGTCACATGACCAGCAGCTCTGACAGCCAACAGAATTTCTGCATCCAGAGACTAGCAGGAGATAGGCCTGGGCATTGGGATCCAGAAGGGGGGCAAGGCACGTGACAGGTGCAAAGCATTATAGGTAGAGGTGAGAGCATTGGGGTGGGGGGCAGGGTGAGCAGGTACGAGAAGCTCTGTTACAAGATGCCTACTGCACACAACAGCCCAGGCCTGTGAGGACAGGAGCCTGACAATAGCCCCTTACAGGTCTGCACGCGTCACCATATCCAAATCCCTACCACAGCCTTGATTCCAAAGCCACACAACAACGTTGTGAACTAAGCAGGCCACGGATCCTAAGGCCCATTTTATGGAAAAGCAGGCTGGGGCACAGAGGCGTAGCAGGGTAAACAGAAGGGCCCAGCAAGTTTAAGGAAAAGTCATGCACTTGTGCCCTCACTTGTTCCACAGCCCCGTGAGTCAAGCATGAGCCCATTCTTGAAGCGAGGCTCAGAACCATTAAATCACTCGACCAAGACTTCCCTGCTGGAAACTGGCAAGAGGGAAGATTCCACATCTTTGGAAGTGAGTTTAGCTTGGAACCCAATAAATAGAGATTTACCTACCAAGGGCTGAAAAACACAGTAAATCCTTCAGCACAGATGCATGGTGTCTTCCTCCTGCATTGGGCGTGAGACTGTTTGATTACTTCCCGTTGCAGGCAGCTGGGCAGCTCTGCCGAGAAAAGCTTTGCAAAGAGCAGAAGGCAGCCTAATGCTCACTGCAGGCAGGGGTGGACTCAGCTGGATGGTCTGGGAGATGGTCAGGAAACTGCCCTAACGTGTACAGGAGGTTTCCCCACGCAGCAGCTCGCTGTATTTTGGCAGGACAGATATTACACCCTCACTTTACAGACGAGGAAACTGAGGCACAGGGGCTCAGCAACTTAACAGAGAGTGATGTCCACTCAGTCTCTTGGCTTGTTTGCTGTATTCTAGTCTATCCTTTCCTGTTTGTCACTGGCAAAAAGTTGGATGGTAAAACTTAAAGTCCAAATGGGATTTTGCAGGGAATCCATTCACATGGGCTACAGATTCTTTCTCTGAGACTAATGGCTCATTGAGAAGAAACAGGAGACTTGGTCCCCCCCTGAAATGGAGTTTACGGCCCAGCTGACAAGACAGAACACTCAAGAGCTGGCTAACACAGCGCCCCCTTGGCCAGACCCACCGAGTCCTGGGGAGCCATGTGAGTTCCGTCACCCCAGACCTTGCTTTGGGGGCAGGGCACAAGGAACTCCAGGGACCCCAGGTTCCTTAGGCTCCCCTGCAGACCCTCCGCTAAGTCTACCAGGGAGAAGACCCTGGTGTGGATTCACTTGGCCCGAGGTTGGGCCCCATTCTGCACTTGGGTTAAGTAACTTGCTGACGATTACATCTGAACCTCAGTGTTCTCTTCACACAGGGGAAAGAGGGTTGGCCCACCGCCCAAGGCCATTATACATAGTAAAGTTTCCAGGGCTCTGTACTGTTCTGTTGTTTGAATTTAACTGGCAGTGCTGCTAAGTGCTTGGACTCTGCAAAGCAGGTGTCATAATCATCTTTCCTGGGAAGGCGAACAGACGGTCACCTGAGGGCCACCATCTGTGAGCGGGCAGGGCTGTGCAGGGGCTCAGAAAGCTGAATCCAGAGGGGAGAGTCTCAGCCAGGTGAGGGACATGTCTGACTGCTTATTATTCACGGTTTTTAGATGTACTCTGACATTTCAGAAACATTAAAAGCAGGCATGCAGTGTTTACATTTATCAAAAAGGGAGCATAAAACAAAATATACCAAGTGCTGGCCCTCGATATTCTATGAGAGGAGGGAGGAAGGCCTGGAACACAGTGCTGTATGTGGAACCTGGGTGCTAGTAGATTGTGGATCCCAAGTAAGAAGCCGGCATGTGACCCACCGCACCCCACCAGCCGCCCCCTCCTCTGTGCTAAGGAGGCCTCTCAGGGTTCTCCCTGATGCCTCTTCCCTCCACATTCAGCCTAACCCGAGTTCACCTGAGTAAGCAGGTGAGTCACTCCCCCAGCCCAGGCCCAGAATAGCTTTGTAAAGGTCTGTAGATGTGACTGGAGTTAGGTGGAACAAACCAGGCAGGCTTCAACGCGAGCATTTATTTTGCATTCTGTGGAAATGTTTCATTTTACTGGCTAAAAATAAGAACTTCCAAAATTCCTTGATATTTAGTCTAATCTTAAAGCAGTGTATAGTTGTCTGTTTTCCGTTGCCAATAACACAGACTGGGTGAGTTATCAAGGAAGTAGGTTTATTTTGGCCTACGGTTCTGGAGGTGCAAGGTCGAAGGACCACACCTGGTGATGGCCTTCTTGATACCCCTGGCAGCTCAGGCTGTCACGTGGCAAAAGACGTGGGACACGTGTTTGTATCTCTTCTGGTCTCTCTGTTTTGTTTCTCTTTTTTTAAAGACTTATTTATTTGAAAACCAGAGTTACAGAGAGAGAGAGGGAGAGATCTTCCATCCACTGGTTCACTCCCCAAATGGCCTCAATATCCGGGGCTGAGCCAGTCAGAAGCCAGGATCCAGGGGCTTCATCCAGGTCTCCCACATGGGTGCAGAGACCCAAGCACTTGGGCCATCTTCCATTGCTTTTCCCAGGCTTTTAGCAGGGAGCTGGGTCAGAAGTGGAGCAGCCAGGACTAGAATCTGTGCCCATATGGGATACCGGCCTCACAGGCTACAGCTTTACCCACTATGCCACAGTGCACAACCAAGCCATAGCACAATGTTTATAAGAGAGGACCATCCAGCTGCACTAATGTGACCCTGGGTATGGGGATCCATGAGTCCAAATCTGAAAGGCACTCAAAAAAAGTCTGTCATCCAGAATGTTTTGGGAATCTCTACACATCAATTACCCTGTTTAATTGTGAATTAAAAAAAAAAAAACAACTATACAGAGAGGTCTTGAGAATAGTTTCTCCCTTACTCAGAATTGATATTTGTCAATGCTTTGTCTTAAGTCTTCCAAATGTTTCCCAATCAAGGAGATAAAATCTGATCAATAAACCTGGAATCCCCATGGTCCCCAGCTACCCTGCACTTGCCCTTGACACCCTTGCATCCTTGAGCTGTCTCACGTTGCTGCTGAT